AACTATTTCCATACACACTGAAAGATTCAGCATTGGAGTGGTTAGACAGCGAACCTCGTGAAAGTATTACTACATGGGAAGAACTTACCAGAAAATTCTGCAATAAATTCTTCATACGGGCGAAAGTAGCTAAAATCATATTGGAAATTCAAACTTTCCAACGGTAGGATGAAGAAAGCTATCACGAGGCATGGAACAGATTTAAAGAGCTGATGCGAAAGTGTCCAAATTATGGGATCCCAATTGGTAATCAAGTGCAATACTTCTACACTAGACTTTCACTACTATCAAAATCTCAGGTGGATTCATCTGCGGGTGGATCGATCATAGGAAAATTAGTACAATAAACATTTGATCTATTTGAGCTAATTGCCGCTACACACTCAATGTTTTCATCGGAAAGAGTGGTACCACCGAGAGCACCCGAGATGTATGAATTGGATAGCACCGCATCTACGAACGTACAGATAGCGACTTTGACAAATAAGGTAGAGTTGTTGGTGAAATCACAAACGGAGGGAGCACATGCCGTGATGAGTGGCCTATCATGTGAAAACTATGGAGCTAATTATTCAACTGAAAACTGTATGTCTATGGGCTTTCCCAAGGAACAGGTCAACTTCATTCAGAATGGCTCCTGCAATTTCGACCCTTATTCACAAACTTATAACTCAGGATGGAGACAACACCCGAACTTCAGATGGTCTGATAATCAGCTTGGGAATCTTCTAAATATTTGGGGAAGATGTTCAACCAGTATATATAAAAGATAGATAAGGTGTTCTAGCAAATCAATACAAATTTTCAAAATCAACAGTCATCAATCAAGAAGTTGGAAACACAAATCGATCAAATAGTTCAACAGCTGGCAAAACGCCGACAAGGGACACTGCCGAACAATACCATGATTAACCCAAAGGAGCAAGTACAAGCTATTACGACTAGAAGTGGAGTACAACTACCTGAGATACATGTGAAAAGGTCAGACAAATAAGAAAAAGAGGTAAAAGTTGAAGGGGCGCCTGGAAAAGAAAAATCTGCAACAAATGATAATAAAAATAAAGAAAAAGGAGAACTATCCACAGTCAGAGCACCAAGTCTCATCAAGGTCTATGTGCCACCAATTCCATTTCCTCAACAGTTGTAAAAGAGAAAATCAGACAAGCAATTTGCAAAGTTTACTGAGATTTTCAAGAAATTACATATAAACATCCCGTTTGCAGATGCAATTGCACATATGCTGAGTTATGCAAAATTTTTGAAAGAGATCCTGGCTAACAAGAGAAAGTTGGAAGAGCATGAAACTGTTTGCTTGAACGAGGAATGTAGTGCAATTCTCCTAAAAAGGCTGCCTCCTAAGTTAAAGGATCCAGGGAGTTTTACTATACCGTGCACCATGGGTTAAAATTGTTTCGAGCATTCTTTATGTGACTTAGGTGCTAGTGTTAATTTGATGTCACTCTCTGTATACCGATCTCTTGGATTGGGAGAAGCTAAACATACAACAATCTCATTGCAACTGGCTGTTAGGTCTATCAAAATACCAAAGGGAATTATTGAAGATGTGCTCGTCAAGGTTAATAAGTTCATCTTCCCGGCTGATTTCATTATCTTGGACATGGAAGAGGATTCAAATATTCCATTAATCTTGGGAAGACCTTTCTTGGCAACTGGGAGAGCACTTATTAATGTATATGACGGAAAAATGATTCTTCGAGTGGACAATGAGCAGGTCATATTCAATGTATTCAAGGCAATGAAACACTCATTAACTTCAGATACTTGTTGCCAAGTGGATATTCTTGATGAGCTTGTGGCCAATACATTTGAAGCAATATATCCAGCCATTCTATCAGAGGCAACAAATGCAGAGAGAATGGAATGTACTGTTTATTTAGCTGAACAACCAATTGGACAGAGACATTGGCAATACGAGTCTTTCAGTTCCAATTCTATACCACCAGTACCTTTAGTGGAGAAAGTGCTAACTCTGGAGTTAAAACCTTTACCATCCCATATCCATTATGTATATTTGGGGGACTCTACAACTTTTCCAATGATCATTGCTAATGACATCACAACATAAGAGGAAAATAAGTTATTGGGGTACTTCGGGAGCACAAGACTACAATTGGATGGACTATAGCTGATATTCGAGGAATTAGTCCTACTCTTTATATGCACAAAATCTTGATGGAGGACGAGTCTAAGCCATCGGTGGCGGGGCAATGCAGATTAAATCTAAATTTGAAGGAAGTGGTAAGAAAAGAATGAGTCCAAGCCATCGGGGGAGGGGAAGTGCAGACTGAACCCAACTTTGAAGGAAGTTGTCAGGAAAGAGGTGTTGAAGTTACTTGATGCAGGAATTATCTACCCCATTTCAGATAGTTCTTGGGTCAGTCCAGTGCAAGTGGTGCCTAAAAAAGGTGGAATTATAGTGGAGAAAAACGAGAACAATGAACTGATACCAACACGGTTAGTAACGGGATGGAGAGTGTACATAGATTACAGGAAGCTGAATAACACTACCAGAAAAGATCACTTCTAATTGCCCTTTATCGATCAGATGTTGGAACGGTTAGCAGGTCATTCTCATTACTATTTTCTGGACGGATACTTAGGGTATAATCAGATAGAAATTGTTCCAGAAGACCAAGAGAAAATAACCTTCACATGTCCTTATGGTACTTCTGCTTTTAGAAGAATGCCATTTGGTCTCTGCAACGCATCTTTAACTTTTCAGCGACGTATGATGGTAATATTCTTCGATATGGTTGAGAAATATATAGAAGTATTCATGGATGACTTTTCAGTGTTTGGAGACTCATTTGATGATTGCTTGGAACGTTTATCACTAGTATTACGAAGGTGTAAAAAGAAGAATCTAGTACTCAATTGGGAAAAGTGCCACTTTATGGTAAAGGAAAGTATATTGTTGGGTCATCGAATTTCATCACAGGGCATTGAAGTTGACGAAGAAAAGAATCAATTGATTGAAATATTGCAGCTACCTACCTCGGTCAAAGGGATTCGAAGTTTTTTAGGTCATGCAGGGTTTTACAGACGATTCATCTAGGACTTCTCGAAGATTACAAAACCTCTTTGCAATCTATTAGAGAATGATGAGCCATTTATCTTTTCTAATGAGTGTTTAAATGCTTTTAACACTTTGAAGGAAAAGTTAACATCTGTACCGGTGATAGTGGGACCAGATTGGGAACTATCATTTGAACTCATGTGTGATGCTAGTGATTTAGCAGTGGGAGCGGTGTTGGGTTAACGACGGGAAAATGTCTTGCATGTCATCTATTATGCAAACAAAACATTGACAGATGCTCCGATCAACTATGCAACAACTGAAAAGGAAATGATAGCAGTAGTATTTGCCTTTGACAAATTTTGTTC